TTGATGCGTCATTTATTATTTCACGATATTGATAATGAACTTTATTCACTTTTCGTTAATGTTACAGCCTTTTTATTCCTTATCCTGAAATTGTTTCAATGTCCTTCACACAACCATGTAAATATGCACCTTATTCATTATGAAATGATTTCAAGATGCACTGGTTTCATAATGAATCCGTTTCAGCATGTAATTATTTCATGACGAACCGCATACATTATTCACCCGTTTTATTTTACATTTCAACGTCACTGAAACGAGATTCACCATCAAACTAGTTCACTATTCATTGTTCAATTACGCCATGAACCAGTTTCACTTTCATGAAACTTATTTCATGTAAATTAATTTATTTTATTTCGCTCCTGATTTGATGAATTTATTTCTTTAAGCCTTGCAATCATAAAGATTCTGGAGCATATTACAATCTTCAAGATTCTGGAAAAGTTTTTTCATGTACCCGTTTCATCATGCATTATTTCATGATGAACCAAATACATTATGCACCCGTTTCACAACTTATGTTCAATAACACCATGAACCAGTTTCATTTTCATGAAACATATTTCATATACATTACTTTTCTTATTTCACCCCTGATTTGATGTATTCATTCTTTTAAGTCTTACAATATTCAAGATTCTGGAGTAGATTACAATCTTCAAGATTTTGTAGCAGATTCATTATTACCCGTTTCATCATGCAATTATTTCATGACAAACCAAATACATTATGCATCCGTTTCATTTTCCACTTCACCTATTAAACGAATCAACTACACCAACAATGCAACGAGTTCACCATGAAAATGTTTCACTACTCATTTTTTATTTGCGACATGAACCAGTTTCACCTTCATGAAACCTGTTTTATTTGTATTAATTTTTTTTGTCCAAATATGATTTGATGAATTCATTACATTATGGCTTACAATCTTCAAGATTCACCAGCAGATTCAATTGCATCACAATATATTCAATTCAAATTTTAAATATCTAAATATAATTAAATATTTAAATATTATCATTTATAAAATTTTCTTAATTACGTTTTCTTAATTAAGATTTATTAAAAACTTCTATATTTAATAGAAAATATTATAAATGACCTAAATGACCGAAATACCCTTATTGATTAAATTTAATTAAAAAAAATTGAAATTTTCCATTGATCGAAATTGGTTTACACGATTTTTTATAAATGCACGGTTTTCATTTGAACGTGTCCATATATATATATATATATATATATATATATATAT